GGATATTCAAATTATCTTTAACAATAAACGTATGTTTGATCTCACACTTGCAGGCTTTTTGAACCATCCAGCTCTTTATCTGAAATACATTTAAATAATTGGAAAGTAGTAAAAATGTCCAAAATGACTGATGACACGGGCCTGTTTCAGTACAGCTGATTTAAAAGCAACAGTTGGGAACCATTATTTTGTGCCACATCTTAAAGCTGTCCGGTTACTTTTGAAGTGATGAAATTTTTTTATCCTCGTTTGCCTCTGCTAATGACCAAATGATGAAGAAAAATAAGGAAAAGGAAGGAAATTTAAAAAATTGCAAAAATGCAGTGTGAACATTCAGCATTCAGTGAGTTAAAGCACGACGATAACAGGAGCTAAAGAGAGCCGAACAGAACCAAAAAGAGCAAAATGATCCCTAAAAGAAACAAAGGCGTGTTTAAAAGCTATATATAGCAAAACAGTAGCTAAAAGCTAAGAACAGCAAAGTGGTAGCTAAAAATAATTGGTAATCTGTAAGCTAAAGGTAGCAAAACAATAGTTAAAAGCTAAGAATAGCAAAGTGGTACCTAAAAATAATTGGTAATCTGTAAGCTAAAGGTAGCAAAACAGTAGCTAAAAGCTAAGAATAGCAAAGTGGTACCTAAAAATAATTGGTAATCTATAAGCTAAACGTAGCAAAACAGTAGCTAAAAGCTAAGAATAGCAAAGTGGTACCAACAAATAATTGGTAATATATAAGCTAAAGGTAGCAAAACAGTAGCTAAAAGCTAAGAATAGCACAGTGGTAGCTAAAATAATTGGTAATCTACTGTATAAGCTAAATGAAACAAAACAGTAGCTAAAAGCTAAGAATAGCAAAGTGTTGGCTAAAAATAATTGGTAATGTATGAGCTAAAACTAGCAAAACAGTAGCTAAAAGCTAAGAATATCAAAGTGGTAGCTAAAATAATTGGTAATCTATAAGCAAAAAGTAGCAAAACAGTAGCTAAAAGCTAAAAATAGCAAAGTGGTAGCTAAAATAATTGGTAGTCTATAAGCTAAAGGTAGCAAAACAGTAGGTAAAAGTTAAATATAGCCAAGTGGTAGCTAAAAATAATTGGTAATATATAAGCTAAAGGTAGCAAAACAATAGCTAAAAGCCAAGAATAGCAAAGTGGCAGCTAAAAATAATTGGTAATGTATGAGCTAAAAGTAGCAAAATAGTAGCTAAAAGCTAAGAATGTTTAATGGGCAACACTGAATAGTTTTGTTTAAGCTAAAAGTAGCTTAACAGTAGCTAAAACGTAAGAACAGCAAAGTGGTAGCTAAAAATTAATAATGTGGTATAAGATAAAAGTAGTGAAAAGTTGTCCAAAAGCTAACATTAAAAATTATAATTTTGAAAAGTAGCCTAAGCTAGAAAAGTTACTAAAACCAAAGGTCTTAGCACATTATTCACTGTTAAGTTGAATATTTGGATATATATGAATGACTAAAATAATAATAAACACGTAGAAGCAGTTAGATTTAAGAAAATGTAGAAAAGTATAAACAAAAACTTTAGGGATCAAAGATGTTGGCCGTATTGATTTCAACATGTTTAGAATTTAATGATAAAAATATCATTATATAACCCTTTTTTTCCCCCAAATAGGAATCCATTAATTATTGGTTTTATCCCAGTATATCAGCAGCAGTGGGGCAAACAGGATGGAGAAATTAGCCCGGGTAAATCACCGAACGTCCTGAAGAGGGTGGTGTTTGTTTTAAGGTGGCGCGGCGGCTGACGACACGCGGGACTGTGGGATTCTGGGAAAAAGCTCCAACAGGCACCGAGACGCGGGGGGGCCGGACACGCGGTTCTCTGCTTGATGTTTAACTCGGGGGGACTCAGCCAACTTTAAAGTTAACGTGTAACTCCAAGTTTGTTGATTTATTTTGTTTCGCAGCGAACAGGAGTCCGTGGCGCCTCCTTAAATAAGTGCTGGCACCTCACAGAGGGTTCAGAGTGGTGGGCGGGGACAGAACCCCTTTGGAGAGAGAGGAAAAAAACTAAAAAAAAAAAATCACGTGTTTGGAGATCAAAGGAGATCCGCTTTGTAGAAGAGGAGGAGGAGGAGGAGGGTGAGAAAGAAAGAAAGAAAGAAAGAGGGAGGGAGGAGAGCCAAGCGTTTGAGGCAGTGTAAATGACAAGAAGGCTCTCAGTGGTGAAACAAACACGCTTCATCTCGGGCTCCGGATTTTTTTATTTTATTTTTTTATTTTTATTTTTTATTGCACAAACCGGGTTCCTTTGAAGCTCCACCTGACTTCATTATTCCCTCCGAACGATTCCGACAAACATCCGCGTGAAATTATGTCCCGCTCGGCGCAGATCCACCCGGCAAGATGATGATCGCACCGCGGAGAGGCTCGGACCGCGCGCCGGACCCGCTGGTCCTGCTGTCGGTCTGGCTGCTGCTGCTCGCCGCTTCTCCCCGCGGTTCGGCTCTCGCCAAGGATACAGCCTTTGTGGAGGTGGTTCTGTTCGAGTCCAGTCCCAATGGAGATTACACGACTTACACGACCGGCTTGCAGGGACGGTTCTCCAGAGCTGGAGCCACTCTCAGCGCGGAGGGGGAGATCGTACAAGTAGGTGGAATAAACAAATAAATAAATAAACAAATAAATAAGAATAAAAGTGATGTTTTGTCAGCAGAAGGAGCGCAGCTGTCCGGGGGGAGCAGAGGGGGGTTTTTCACCAAACTGCCTTTTTAAAAGTTTTCCACACAGTGTGGGGTGGCTGACAAGATATGTTGTGTGTGTGTTCACTAGTGTGTGTGTGTGTGTTCACTAGTGTGTGTGTGAGGATGGTACTGCCTGCAAGCAAATGCGGTCACAAGATGGCTCCTATCTTGTGGAATTCATCCACAGTGAAAACATGCTGTTGCAAGTTATTTTCTTGATATCTGAAGCTCACTTGTTTCGCTCTTTTTTGCCACTTAATTGCCCCCCCCCCCCCACTCCAGAAAAAAACTTTGCACACTTTGATGCATGTCGCAACAACGAGGCTTCTGTTTGTGTTGCTGGTTTTTTTTTTTTTTAATTGATCAGCTGCTGAAGCGAACCAAAGCTTGAATTAAACTCTGAAGCCACGATCAGGACCTGTGAACACGTGAAGTGTGAGTCCTGCTCCATGTTTTTCTGGTTTGTAAACATTTGGGAGCAGTTAGAAGTGACTGGAAAGTGATCAGAGATTAAACTGACTTGTTAAGAAGTTCTGCAAACTCCTTTATATATGTTGTTTTCTGCTTGATCCCTAATGTTTAGTCTCAACTGTTGTCTTACTCTATATTTATCTTTTCTTTTGCATTTAACATCATATTCATTCAGTTAAGGACTCTGTTTACGTTGAGCGTGGACCCGCGTTTCATAGTTGCTCATTTTGCAAACTTCTTTATACGTATATGCTGTTTTCTGTTAGATCCATAATATTTAGTCTCAACTGTTGTCTTACTCTATATTTCTATTTTCTTTTGCATTTAGCAGTGTATTCATTCAGCTAAGGGGTTTGTTTACGTTGAGCGTGGACCCGCATTTCATTGTTGCTCATTTTGCAAAACTTTTTTATATATGCTGTTTTCTGTTAGATCCCTAATATTTAGTCTCAACTGTTGTCTTACTTTTCTCTTTTCTTTTGCATTTAGCAGCATATACGTTCAGCTAAGGACTCTGTTTACGTTGAGCGTGGACCCGCATTTCATAGTTGCGCATTTTGCAAACTTCTTTGTTTAAATGCTGTTTTCCATTTGAACCCTAATAGTTAGTATCGTCTGTTGTCTTACTCTTTATTTTATTTCTTTTGCGTTTAGCTGCATATTCATTCAGTTAAGGACTCTGTTTACGTTGAGCGTGGACCCGCATTTTATAGTTGCTCATTTTGCAAACTTCTTTATATGTGCTGTTTTCTGTATAATCCCTAATATTTAGTCTCAACAGTTGTCTTACTCTATATTTCTCTTTTCTTTTGCATTTAGCAGCGTATTCATTCAGTTAAGGGCTTTGTTTACGTTGAGCATGGACCTGCATTTCATAGTTGCTCATTTTGCAAACTTCTTTATATGTGCTGTTTTCTGCTTGACCCCTAATATTTAGTCTCAACAGTTGTCTTACTCTATATTTCTCTTTTCCTTTGCATTTAGTAGCATATTCATTCAGCTAAGGAGTTTGTTTACGTTGAGCGCGGACCCGCATTTCATAGTTGCACATCTCAAACTGCACTGTATCATATAGTTCTGGATAATAGTTTATGTTTTTATGTTTGAGCATTTTTTATGTTTTATATATTTTTAATGTTTGAGCTCATGTTAAAGCAGTGAAAAGTAAAAATTTTTGTTTCGCTCTGAGTCTAAAATTAGATAATTTTTTTGTCTGCGTGCCATGCCAAGTGCACTTGGCTGGAGCAGTGTAATGCTTGGATCCAGGTTTTATGCACTGCAAACCCACAAACGATACGAAGCGTTTCCTCCTTTCAAAGTGTTTATTAGACGTTTTATGGACTAATTCTTTTATGATCGGCTCGCTCGCCATTTATAAGGCAGCAAAAGTTTGGTCCTAGTCGCGTTTCAAACGCCTGTGAAGGTTTTCTTGGATTTTTCTGCGACTCCTGGGATGTAACATTTCTTTCTCTGTTTAATTTAAAGTCGCGTCGTTATAAAGCAGTGTTTTGTGTTTTTAATCCTAAAAAAATACAATATCTCCGTAAATATGGAGGTCATTAAAGAAAAGTTGTGGCGTCACAGTTCTGCAATCCCTGCGTGCGTGCAGAACTGTGACGCCACAACAAGTTGTGGCGTCACAGTTCTGCACGCACGCAGGGATTTGTGTCGGTTACTCGTTTATTGTGCCGTGCCATATTTAATCACCCAACACCTCTTCCTGCTCGTCACTATTGCAAATGCAGCAGCACCATCTGACACTTTTAGTTTTTCCCGCCTCCGGAGGACGGCGTGGCGATGGGAGGAAGCTAGGAATGCTCGGAGCGAGGAGTCGGCGCCGCCCGCTCACCCCACGGCGACGTCGGACCTCAGCTTTACATCGAAACCCGCAACTATTTAGGTTTGCTTTCTTCGCAAAACACAGCCCGACCGCTCAGAGACGGCTGCTGCTGCAGTTTTTTTTTTTTTTTTTTTGTCAGCCTGTAATGAGGGCCGTCTTAGATTTCTTGTATATTTTGCCAAAAAATCTCTCGGAGTCGGGACTGACAGCAAATGACAACCTGGAGAGCATAATTTTAAAAAAGCGTATCGGATTCCTCCCTTGCGTATTCTATAGCATTTCAGGAAATTCCTGCGGTGGTTCACGCCGGAGTTAGTTTGAACGAAACATTTAAAACTCTCGGAGGGTGACCTCTGTAGCCGCAACGTTTCTTTGTCCCCCCTTTTTTTTTGTTGAAACTTTTGGTTTTAAGTTCGGTCCGTTTGCCTCGTGTAGTGGTGGTCAGGCCTCTGCAGGTACAGAGGAACGGGGTGGGTGGTGTTTGGGTTGGGGGGGTTCTGTCTTGGCACTGATCCTGAGTAAAGCTCGGGCCACGATCACCACATGTGTGCTCCCAGCTCTCCTTTTCTAATTCCCCAAAGCTAACAGCGCCTCAGCTCTGCCTGAGGAGTGTGAAGAGTGGCACACGCTGCCGGGGCCAAAAATAATACATTTAAGTTAATTTGCTGTTTCTCTAGTTCAAAGGGTCGGGGGGCGCGGTAGTAGACCACGATGATGTAGATCTGGCTCCAGTGCCAAAATCCCAGGCTTCTCAAACCAGTCCCCCGGATTGCTCCAGCTCAACACCGTAAATCATTTCATTAAGATGTGGAGCAACTCTGGAGCTGAACTTTTAAAACTGATTTTTTTTAATGCAAACAAGTGCTGCCAGTGCCCGAATGTGGGCGTATTTATTTCTGTTTATTGTATTTATGTGAGGATTAAAAAAAGGAGGCGGTTCAGAATAAAATAAGTGAGAAAACAAAGATTTAGAGGACTTGATCTTCTCGGCTTATTAAGGGCTCGGCACACGGGAGGCGACGTCGCTCGCTCTCCATTCATTTCCTATGGAGCCTGTGCGGTGAGGCCACAATCGCTCGCCCTCCTCCAGCTAAGCGACCGGCAAAAATAGTGCATGTGAAATTTCATGCTCGTAGACGTAGACGTGCACACGCGAGCTTGCACACGCGAGCTTGCA